GTACCACACACACTGGGTGTAGCCCCCGTTGTACCACACACACTGGGCGTAGCCCCTGTTGTACCACACACACTGGGTGTAGCCCCCGTTGTACCACACACCATTGTTTCTTTATATCACATAAACTGCACTCCATGATAGCGTACTTTGTGAAGATACCTGATTGTCTCTTTAGAATTCTCCTTGTAGGGAAAAGCTGCCAGCAACATTGGGACTGCAATGGCCCACAAACAGCAAGTGTGCTGTGAACAGTAAATAGCGGGTGTGTTGTCGCTGAGGGATAGCTATTGGGATACAAACTGAGGAATGTGAGTCAATCAATCTGGTTGTTCTCTGAGGGGCCAGTGGGGTGTGATGCTAGAACAAGAGCAACACAGGAACTGGAAACGGTACTGAATTTCGGAAACCTGTTTTAGGTGATGACAGGGGCGACATCGCTGTCTCCACGTTGGGACAAGTGTGTGGACTTTGTGGAGTATGTTCTACCTGACGCCGTTGGCAGGATGTTTGTAGAAACACATTTTCAGGAGGACAAGAAACAGCTGGTAAGTACTATTTGGTCTGCCCACCAGCTGTGTGTGTTTCATGGCCAGTTTACCCATGGCACCACCTTAGTGTATAAACAGGTAGCGTGCTTTCTAACTACACCTTTAAAAGCCACACTGCATCATTGGCTGTGCAGCAGCTCTCTGCTTGTGAATGGCCCCATATTAATCAGCGAATCCAACAGCCTTTAGCTCTGTGTTGGAGGTGTCTGGATATGCAGCTTAACTAGAATTCTGACCAAGAGCTGAGAAAGATGATTAGGCCAGGCAGCTTGCTCCTTTGGCCAGTGCAGACATGATGGGCGGAGTGGCCTCGTTTTGTGCCATGAATTTTGCTCCATTTCTTAAATATTGTAAGTATCTCAAGAAGGGGAACGTGTATCCTTTAGTGCAAGTTTCTCTGTTCTCTGTGCGAGCTCAGGCCAGTTCATTGTTCAAACAGTAAGTATTGTCCATACAAACACAACAATACGGTTACAGGAGCAGCCTGGTTCCAACCTTCTAGCAGAATCCTAAACTCATGACTACTGAGGTTAAAGTTAGATCCTAGCAAACCTCAAAAGGTCATTCGCAGATTTATTAAACCCTCTCTTGACAGTATAGGGGGGAGGGGCAGTATATGAATTTTGAGTAAGGAAGGCCAGCATAAACAAGCTAGATTCGATTATTCAATGTTCCAACATTCCCAACAACCCCAATTTTCATCTCCTTTCGAAATCTTTTCTCTCTGAGGCACTGATCTCTTGGAAGTCTCTTCCCAGAGAGCAGTGGGGGCTAGGTCACTGAATTCAGCCAAGGTTGAGATAGACAGGTTTTTGATTGCCAAGGAAGTGGAGGATTATGGGGAACAGATAGGAAACTGGAGTTCAGGTCACCATCACATCAGCCATGATCTTATTGCAAGGTAGACTAGACTTGAAGGGCCAAATTGCCTACTCCTGCTGTTATTTGCTGTGATCTTATAGAACATAGAACAGTACAGCACAGTACAGGCCCTTCAGCCCATGATGTTGTGCCAAAGTTTTACCCTAAACCTAAGGTCTATCTAACCTCCACCCCTACCTTGTACTATGATCCATATGCCTATCTAATAGCCGCTTAAATGCCCTTAACGAGGCCAACTATCCTCTCCGGCAATGCATTCCACACCCCTACCACTCTCTGAGTAAAGAACCTACCTCTGATATCTCCCCTGTATCTACCTCCACTCACTTTAAAACTATACCCCCTCATAATAGCTACCTCCACCCTGGGAAAAAGTCTCTGGCTGTTCACTCTATCTATACCTCTGATCATTTTGTAAACCTCTATCAAGTCACCTCTCATCCTTCTTCGTTCTAAAGAGAAAAGCCCTAGCTCTCTCAACCTTTCCTCGTAAGACCTTCCCTCTGGTCCAGGCAACATCCTGGTAAATCTCCTCCGCACCTTTTTTAACGCTTCCACATCTTTCCTGTAATGAGGTGACCAGAACTGGACACAATACTCCAGGTGTGGCCGAACCAGGCTTTTGTATAGCTGGAGCATAACTTCACGGCTCTTGAACTCAATCCCTCTATTCGTGAAAACTAAAGGCAATTGCATCTTGTGGCAGCTGGAAAGTAAGAACACTCAGTGTGGACTATTTGTTTTGTGGGAAGGTTTTATCTGACTAATTTCATTGAATATACTGACGAGGTTTCTTTTTATTCATTCATGGGATGAGCATTTATTGTCCATCCCTAATTGTCCAAAGGGCAGTTAGGAGTTAACCACATTGCTGTGGGTCTGGAGTTTCACGTAGGCCTGACCACAGTAAGGATGGCAGTTTCCTTCCTTAAATGACATTAGTAAACCAGATGGGTTTTTCCAACAATTGACAATGGATTCATGGTCATCATTAGACTCTTAATTCCAGATATTTTATTGAATTCAAATTCCACCATCTGCTATAGTTTTTTAAATTTACTTTGTAATCCACCATCTGCTACAGTGGGATCAAAGAGTATGGGGAGTAAGTGGGAACAGGATACTGAACTGGATTGTCAGCCATGATCATATTGATGCAGGCCCAAAAGGCTGAATGGCCTATTGCTGCTATTTTCTATTTCTCTACCTGTGCTGCAGCCATCAATCATTTGGGTATGCAAGACTCCAGGTCACCCTCACCCTTTCGAATTGCGCCCTCTTTATTAACTCTCTGTGTTCTTCCTATCAAAATTAATGATTTCACATTTCTCTGCAAATATTTTAATCTGCCACAAATCTCCCCATTCTGCCCTAAACTCTCGCACTGTCCTCACGGTTCACAAAGCTGTTTAGGTTTGTATCATTCATTAAGTTTGAAATTGTGCCCTCTAGACTAAAGACACTCATATTATTTTTATTTTTTCATTTGTGGGATGTGGACATCACTGGCTGGGTCAGCATTTCTTGCCCATCCCTAGTTGCCCTTGAGAAGGTGGTAGTGAGCTTCCTTCTTGAACTGCTGCAGTCCTCCTGCAGTAGGTTGACATCACAATGCTATTAGGGAGGGAATTCCAGGATTTTGACCCAGCGACAGTGAAGGAACAGCGATATATTTCCAAGTCAGGATGGTGAGTGACTTGGAGGGAACTTGAAAGTGGTGGTGTTCCCATATATCTGATGCCCTTGTCCTTCTAGATGGAAGTGGTCATGGGTTTGGAAGGCACTGTCTGAGGATCTTTGGTGGATTTCTGCAGTGTATCTTGTAGATAGTACACACTGCTGCTACTGAGCATCGGTGGTGGAGGGAGTGGACGCTTGTGGATGTACTGCCAATCAAGCGGGCTGCTTTGTCCTGTATAATGTCAAGGTTCTTGAGTGTTGTTGGGGCTGACGTCATCCAGGAAAGTGGGGAGTATTCCATCACACTCCTGACTTGTGCCTTACATGGTGGACAGGCTTTGAGGAGCCAGGAGGTGAGTTACTTGCTACAGTATTCCTAGTCTCTGACCTGCTCTTGTAGCCACTGTGTTTATGTGGTGAGTCCAGTTGAGTTTCTGGTCAATGATAATCCCCAGGATGTTGATAGTGGGGAATTCAGTGATGGTTGAATGTCACCATGGAATATCAAGGGGCATTGGTTAGGTACACGAGGGAAAGCAAGGCTCTTCATGCTGATTCCTGGGATCCCCTTCCTGCAGTGATGAAGGGTCTAGGCCCGAAACGTCAGCCTTCCTGCTCCTATGATGCTGCTTGGCCTGCTGTGTTCCTCCAGCTCTACACCTTGTTATCTCACCTGCCGTCTATCTGCTATCACTCAGCCGATAGCTGTCGCTGTCCCTTTCTAATTCCTTGGGCCTCAGTATTACTGACGTTCCTGTTATCTCTTCCTCTGTCAAAAGCCATTTTGGACGTCCCTGTTCACCACCCTTATACGCAAGGAGGATTGGGAGATTATGGCCAGTTCCTTGGATTTAAAAATAAAAGTTCCTGGGAGGTGAGTGTCAGTGACTATTCCAGTGTTTGTACTGGTGAGTTGCTGTAATCCCTCTGGTGTGGGGACACCCATGCTGCTGTTAGCAAGCAGTTTCTATCTTAACTTCCTCCAATGCCCCGTGGATGCACCTCATCTAGCCCTGGAGATTTATCAACCTTAAGTATAGCCAGCCTCTGTAATATCTCCTCTTTTGCCCATTCAGTGTCTCAGTTACTCCCACTTTTAGCGCAGCTTCTTCCTGACGGATGTAAAGTATACCCTGCCTCGATGCCCTTTTTGGTCACTAACCAGACCTACTCCACCTTTTTATTGTTTATATACCTGCAGAAGACTTTAGCTTTCCCTTTTATGTTACCTGACAGCCTCTTTACATACTCCCTCTTTGTCTCTTTACTTCCTTTTTCACTTCCCTTCTGAGCTTTCTGTATCCAGCCTGGCACTCGCTTGTGTTATTATCCTGTCATCTGTTTTCTGCTTCATAGTGTTGAAACAGACTGATCCAACTTGTCCATGCTGACCAGATAAAATCTAGTCCCACTTGCCAGCATTGAGCCCATATCCCTCTATAAACCCTTCCTTTTCATGCACCCATCCAGATGTCTTTTAAATGTTGTCATTGTACCAGCCTCCACCTCACGAGTTGCTTTCATCGAATTGTTGTGAAAACTTGTCAGGTCCTCACCCAGTCTGGCCTACCTCTGACTCCAGCCCCACAGCAATGTGCTTGACTGCCCTCTGAAGCGGCTCTAGCAAGACACTCAGCTCAAGGGACAATTAGCAAAGGGCAACAAATGCTGGCCCAGCTAGTGAACCCCACATCATCCACGAGGGAATAAATGAAACTGGCAAGACAGTGGGCCAAGAGCTGGAAACCGGAGCTGGAAAGTGTCAGAACTGCTTTTCGGCTAACATGAACAGCATGGGCTGAGTGGCCTTCTTCTGGAGCTGTGGATCTCTCTGTATGATCCATCGATTGAAACGGCTGTGAGTCCTTCGCAATGAAGAGAAGTTATTAGGGAATCAGACTAATCGACTGTTAGTCTTTAATTTCCAAATCTTTCTAATCCCTAACTATAGAGAAATGTGGGTGTGGGTTCAATAATGTAGCCAGACTAGGGACCCAACCTCTTCTGGCCATCCCAAACAAGGGTGTTTTAATCAGCACGGCTGTTAATGATTGTTTAAAGTTGGAGCTCCTCTATTTTCAGACTGAAGATTTGGTTGCTGGTATTCGCTGGGCATTTGTGGACATGCTGGAGAAAGAAAATGACTGGATGGATCCGGAAACCAAGACCAAAGCTAAAGAGAAGGTAGGTTTTTGCATGTTTGAAAATAAGACGTGTTTGAAGTTTGCAGGTCAGCGGCTTCGGCCTGGAGACTTGCTCGACGGGAGTGCAGATCGATCAAACAAGATGTGTGGGAGGGCAGGCACAGCTCTGATTGACTTGTACAGAGCACTGTCACTGACTGATCACCCTGTTTAGTGAAAAATGCAGGAAAGTCACCACGTCTGCCAGCAGTCAAGCACCCCCCAATTCAATCTGCACGTAATAACGATGACGTGGAGGTGCTGGAGTTGGACCGGGGTGGACAAGGTCAAAAACCAAATAGACCTATTGGACTACAACCTGGTGACGTGTGGTTTTTTTGACTTTGCATGTAATAAGCCACATGCCTAGGGGTCCCATTATTGCACATTTACCAGGTTTTTGCTAGAGTTGCATAGAGTGTTGGGAGGCAACCTCTAGAGTACTATGTTCAGTTTTAGTCCTTAATTAGGTAAGGATGTAAAAGCGTGAGAACCTGCTCAAAGAAGGTCCAGTCGACTGATACCTGGGATGGAGGAACTTATCATACAAAAAAAGGCTGGACAGGGAAGGTCTCTATCCATCAGAGTTTAGAAGTCTGAGAGGTGACCTTTATAGAAACGTTTTAAGACCCTGAAAAGACTTGACAGAGATGACTTGTGGGAGAGATTGGAAGGAGGGCTCAGATGGAGATGAGGAGGGATTTTTTTTTTTCTTCTCGGAGTTTTTGGAACTCTCTTCCCCAGAGAGCAGTGGATGCACGCATCGTAGAATATTTTTGAGGCACGGGTTAGAGAAATTAGTGACTGGCCAGTCAAAGTGCATTGGAGATGGGTGAAAATGTCAAGTTGGGTTGTAGTCAGTACCATCAAAATCATGTGGAATGATGTAGCAGGCTCAAAGGAGCCGAATGGTTTGTATGCAGAATCATAGAGTCATACAGCACGGAAACAGACCCTTCGGTCCAACCTGTCCGTGCCTACCATAATCCCAAACAAAAGTAGTCTCACCCGCCTGTTCCTGGTCCATATCCCTCCAAATCTTTCCTATTCATGCACTTATCCAAATGTCTTTTAAATGTTGTAACTGTACCCACATCCACCACTTCCTCTGAAGTTCATTCCACACACAAACCAAAAAAGTTGCCCCTCATGTCTTTTTTTAAATCTCTCTCCTCTCACCTTAAAAATGTATCCCCTAGTCTTGAAATTCCCCATCCTAGGGAAAAGACAACTGCCATTAACTCTATCTATACCCCTCATTATTTTATAAACTTCTATCAGGTCGCCTCTCAACCTCCTATGCTCCAGTGAACAAAGTCCCAGCCTATCCAGCCTCTCTTTATAACTCAGACCTTCCATACCCGGCAACATCCTGGTAAATCTCTTCTGAACCCTCTCCAGCTTAATAATACCCTTCCTATAACAAGGTGACCAGAACTATACACAATACTCCAGAAGAGGCCTTGCTAACGTCCAGTGCAACTTCAACATGACGTCCCAACTCGTTGTGCACTGTCATGTTCCACTCTGTTGGATTAACTTCTTGATTTTTTCTTTCCATCAGGCACATGGAGTTCTTGCCAAAATAGGATATCCTGACTTCATACTGAATGATACCATCATCAACGCCAACTTCAGAAATGTAAAGTAGCTGATTGCTGGTTTTGACACTGTGGTATAATTTGGATGTTCTTGTGCTTACATCATCAGTGGGCTAGGGGAGGCTGAGGGCTGGATCCATGTGGGATCATCCTATCTTGGAAAATCAATAGGGAAGCAAAACCTTTGGCAAATGAATGTCATTTTGTTCTTTCTTTCAACTGCTAGATACCTCAGATTCCTCAAAATGCGCATTTATCTCTTTAATAGTATGTTTTGTGTTATAGAAGGTGAAATTCTGTCCTATCAAGTGTAAGGTAACTGAGTCAGACATTCCAGTGCCAAAAGGCAGAGAATTATAATGTCAGAGGAGGCTCCCAGTGTTCAGGGTTTATTGCCTCAGCCCCTGATCCCTAAACTGGACTCTGAGAATGCCCCAGAGGCTGTCAGTCAGATCTCTGCTCGCTTTGCTCTTCAAATGAAAAGATGTCAAGCAAAGGAGCTGAGATTTCTCAATGCCATGACAGTGCTAGCTTTAACTCCACCCGACCTCCAACCATTGGGATCCTGGGAGTGGGAGAGTTGCACCCAAAAAGTGTGTGTGGGCCCCTTGCTGTTTTCACAAGCTGAGTATGGATCAATATTGGGGGGGACATTGCTCAGCTGTTTTCTGAGGATCAGTCAGATCCCTCACCCTCCCACCCTGTCCCCATGGAGAGGCTCGGGGGGGATCCTTGTTTGAATGAGTAGATTGCAGCACTAACATGGTACAGCAACCTAGTCCTGGAGTCTTATTCCAACTCAGCGATGAAAACCCTAGGAACTGTGAGAGGTTCAAGGCCAGAGGTGTAACTGGACCCATTTCTGACCCGAACCCAACACTGAGCATGCTGCTAATAAACAGGAGAAAGATAATCCTAAACATTGGAATTCTGTCCAAAAACAAAACTTAGTATCATCACTTGTGTTGACTGGATTCTCTTCCTAACCCTTTTGTTAATCCCTGTGTCCTGCATGATCTGATTTCTGATTATCCCAGGACCATATCTCTCCAATAAAACACAAAAGAACCCCCTGTTATTAGTCACTAACAGTCCCCGGTAACAACTTAGTCCCAGCCTGATCGTTAGCAACTCCTTTGTCTGTCCAACTGTCTTTCTCTCTCTTTGGGCTCTATCCTATCGTTTACTCCCTACCCCACCCACCTCCCTATTTTCTGCATATAAACTGACGTTTTCCCAGCCACCATCAGTTCTGAGGAAGGGTCACCAGACCCGAAACGTTAACTCTGTTTTCTCCTCCACAGATGCTGCCAGACCTGCTGAGCTTTTCCAGCAACTTTGTTTTTGTTCCATATCTCTCTAAGGTGGGCAATTCTCCTTTGTCCCTGACTTATATAGGAGTACAATTATATCGGAGGCAGTTCAGAGGACATTCATTATATTGATTCCAATGATGAGAGGATTGTTTTATGAAGAGATCGAGCAGTTTAGGCTTATACTCTCACGAGTTTAGAAGAACAAAAGGAAATCTAATTGAGGTATATAAGATGCTAAAGGGATTACAAAGTAAATCTGGAAAGGATGTTTCCTTGTAGAGTCCTTACAGTGTGGAAGCAGGCCATTCGGCCCATCGAGCCCATGCCGACTCTCCAAAGAGCAGACCCAACACCCCCTTCCTTATCCCTGCATTTCATGGCTAACTCATCTCACCTGCACATCCCTGAATAGTGTGGGCAATTTAGCATGGCCAGTCCACCCAACCTGCACGTTTTACATTGTGGGAGGAAACTGGAGCACCCAGAGGAAACCTACGCAGACATGGGGAGAATGTGCAAACTCCACACAGACAGTCGCCCGAGGGTGGAATTGAACCCGGCACCATGAGGCAGCAGTGCTAACCACTGATCCACCGTGCTGCCCTCAAAAATGGGGCAATCTGGAACGAGAGGTCTGGCAGCATCTGTGAAGAAAAAAAGTCAGAGTTAGCCTTTCGGGTCTGGAAGGGTCAGTTCTGAGGAAGGGTCACCAGTCCCGAAACATTAAGTCTGATTATTTTTCACAGATGCTGCCAGACCTGCTGAGCTTTTCCAGCAACTTCAGTTTTTGTTCCTGATTCACAGCGTCCACAGTTGTTTCGGTTTTTATCTAGAACACAAGGTTATACTTTTACGCTAAAGGGCGGATTTAAAACAGAGGTGAGGAGAAACCACTTCTCTTAAAGGGTCATGAATATCTGGAATTCAGAGCATGGTGGACGCTGGGATGTGGAGGAGGCAGACATGTTTGTAATTAATAATGGGTTGAAGGGTTATGGAGAGCGGGCAGGAAAGTGGAGTTAAGGCCGAGATGAGATCAGACGTGATCGTATTGAAAGACGGGGCAGGTTTGAGGGGCTGAAAGGCTACTCCATTCTCATCCTGGTTCTCATGTTCTTACGATCTTCCTGAGCAGCCCGGGCCAAAGGCGACATTTGTAACAAGGTGTGGATGGTGCTTAGCAGGATGTGCTGAGCTGGCTGTGATTCCTTAGCGGATGCCTGCTCCAACCCTTCGAGGCTGCATTGGGGTACACTAAGAGTTGTGCTGGTGCGTTCACCTCCATGTCTGTAACTATGACTGTGCTTTGCCTGTTTTCTCCACAGCTGACTGTCTCTCACACCAACTACTTTGACAACGTCCTGCAGTCCCTTCACTTCTTCGCTCAGACAGGTTTCTCCTACTTAAGGAGCCGTGTTTCAAAGACAGAGTGAGTGCATGTTTGTCTTCTGATGTTGCCACAAAACAAGGGCCTGACGAGGCTTTTCACTGTTACTTAGGTAACACATGACAACAATCAATCAAATCCAATCGAAAAAAAGAGACAGCACTTTGCAAAGTGTGAGCATGCATGACTAGCCTGGGTCTCCAAACCTCACCAGAAAGTCACTGGTGACCTCCAGTGCAGATCCTATGGGAGCATGGAGGGTCCATGTGAAAGCCCCCTGCTCTGTCTCTACATGCCCCTCTCAGTACCCACCCAAATTGGGTAACCACAGGGGCAGTGCCAACATCCAGCAACATGTCCTTTTTGCGTTCCCCCCTCACAAAAGGAGACCAACATTGCAAACCTCTTTTTATGGTAATCGTTTCTCCAAATGTTTCATTTCTTAAAAATCAAACCTTTAAAGGCCCTTTGCGTTGAGCATAAAGCCCATTCCAAAAGCTGGAAATGTTGAACTGAGTGATCCTAGTGAACTGCTTCCAGTCTGGCGTTGGTATTAAATACATCTCCCTTATCTCAAAATCAACTGAGCCAATGACCTCTGAGCTGCTTCTGGAATATTATTCACTGCACTCGGAATTGCATTCCCCTTTAACAGAGGGATTATTCTCACCTCTGGACTGTGCTTTCAAACATATACGTGTTTGGAACTGTTCTGGAACGCATGGAAGCTGATTTGTCTAATCTGACCATCTCCTTTTTGTCCAGATGGTACACTAGTCCCACCACAGTTAATGCCTTCTACTCTCCAACAACTAACCAGATCCGTAAGTATCTTGCTTTCAGTTTCTGGACGGGTGAACCTGCATCATAGTAAATATGTAACACTCTGGGTTGTATGAGACACTGTCAGACTGTACTCAGCCTTATCAGCTCCAGCTTACTGGGCCAGCTGGTTCACTCGCTGGCTTTCACAGGAAGGGCAGCTACATCTCTGGCTACCTCATAGGGGGGAAACTGACCTAGGTCAAACAGTCCTACTCACACCAACCTGGAATCAAAGACTGGATAGTGGAGTGTTGGTAATTAAAAAAAAATCTTATAATTTATATCGAGACTTCCTCAATCATAGAAGGAGAGAGTCAAGCCTGATGGCAGTGATCGAAAGGGGTTGGTTAAAGAAGTGGCTTTTGAGGGGCGTTCTCACAGGCAGAGGGAGGGAACGCTGCAGGATCTGGTGTTCCACACTTCAGGTTGAATGTAACTGAAGCCGTGTGTGTGGTGAAGGTGTGTGTGGTGAAGAAGCCATGGAGGAAGCCCCCTGGTTAGGGGCAGTGGAGCATCAGCAGGTCTTTGAGAAATAGACCACCACAGGAGTAGGCCATTCAGCCCCTTGAGTCCTTGTTGGCTCCTTATAGAGACATCCCATCGGTTCCTTTCCCCTGCTGTATCCCCATGGCCTTGCTGACTTAAGTCTGTCCAGTGCCTGTCCCAGGTCCCTTTAGACTCCCTCGATTGCCTCCAGTTCCCCCTGGCTTCTGGGCAGCGAATCCCAGGCACTATCTAAATTAATAGTGTAACTCCCTCCCAACTCTTTCTCATTGTTCCTCTTTGTCCCTGTACCATCAACCAATGGGAACAACCTTTATCTAAATCTGTCACCATCTTGGCCACCTCAATCAAGCCTCCTCCCAGTCACCTCTCCTCCGTGCACCACCGTCCTGGCAGCTAAGATCCTTCACCCTGGAACCCATTCTGGCAAATCTCCATTGTACCCTCTCGCCAATCCTCCTGTGCTTTTTCTGAGGATTCCTGGAGGTTCTATGGCTGGAGGAGATCACAGACATGGCTGAGCATGAGGCCAAGGTGGGAATAGGGTGACAGTGTCAAATTCTCAACATTACTGGACCCAAGTCACCGTAGGTATTGTTGACATCAGATTGCTGGGTGACAGATGAGGGTGACTCTCCGATATAAGGGCAGCAGAGCTTTGGACAAACAGAAGTTGAATTGGAAGGGATCTAATCCTGAAAAACATTACGATAACATGTTAACAGAATGATAAAATTGTGATAGAGTTAGGGCCAGAGGCAGAAATGTTCTGGACCTGAAAGTAGGTCATCTTTGCGATGGAGAGGATACATTAGATTGTTTATTGTAAATTCTTCGATGGCTGAAGGAATAGCTGGCAAGGTCAATATTTGCAGACTATCCTTATTTGCCCTTGGACTGTGTGGCTCGCTCACTGACTTCGAACAGCAATTAGGGGTCATGTTGCTGTGGGTCTGGAGTCACATGTAGACCAGACCAGATGAGGACAGTAGACTTCCGACCTCAATACCATTGGTAAAACAGATTGATTCTCATTTAAAACCTATGAGTTTTACAATCTCATTTAATGAAACTGGCTTTTTAATTCCTGACTTTATTATTTAAATTTGAACATCATGAGTTGGCTGTGGTAGGATTTGAACATGTGGGCCTCTGGATTACTCATTGGTTTTAATTACTAATCCACTGGCATGACCGCTGTGCCACATCCTCCCCCTTCCTGGATGCACTTTAGGGGCGAAGATAATGAGGTTATGAACAGCCTGGTTCAACCTTTACCAGGGAATTGGGAGCTGGGAAGTGGAGGTTGTGCCGGGATTTGAAGCTATGGTTTTGACATTCCAAGTGTTTTGTCAGAGCGGGATGCAGCCCTTTCAGAACCGGGATGTTGGGATGGGCGATGGGCAAAATCGCCAAACGTATCAGCAGAATCTGACTCCATGGTGGAGAGACCGTGTTGATGAGGGGATCACGATGTGGCAGAGTCAGCATGGGAGCCGCGCCAGCTATAGTTGGCCAGGAAGAACTGGAAGCAGTTGATGGTGATTTGTTTGTATGTGAGGGAGTCCAGCATCCTTTTTGGCTGGAGGGAGAACCATGTTTCTCCTATTCACAGGTATTTGAAGATAAAGGAACAGTTGGCCTAATATCAGTGGTTGTTGGAGAGGATGCAGTCGCTCACTCGGGCGATGTGTGTTGAGGCAGACAGAGGGACTAGAGGAGAATGGTATACACAGTTCTGGTGTACCTTGTCCCCAAGTCAAGTCACAGAGAGTTTGGATGAGATGTAAAATAGACAACTGATTGGCTGACTTCAGCCAGACAACGTTACGTCCTCTGCTCTTGAGCCCCGACTGGTGGACGGAGTTCAGTGTTCCTTGGGTGGAAGGTCAGGAGAGCTCACTGTCACAGACTGTTAATCCAGAGACCCAGGCAATGTTCTGGGGACCCGGGTTCAAATCCCACTGCTGCAGATGGTGGAATTTGAATTCAAAGAAAATCTGGAATGAAGAATCTAATGATGACCATTGTCAATTGTCAGAAAACCCATCTGGTTCACTAATGCCCTTTAGGGAAGGAAACTGCCATCCTTACCTGGTCTGGCCTACATGTGACTCCAGATCCACAGCAATGTGGTTGACTCTTAACTGTCCTCTGGGCAATTAGGGATGAGCAATAAATGCTGCCTAGCCAGCAAAGCCCTCATCCTGTTAATGAATTAAATAAAAGTTAAACACAACCTTGTTTCTTTTCTTCTCCCGTTTGCAGAATTCCCAGCAGGAGAGCTTCAGAAGCCATTTTTCTGGGGAGAAAAGTATCCGATGTAAGTGCCCACTGTCGCTGCGGAATGAGTTGACCCAAGTTTTAACCCCTAACCTCGATCCTAGGCCTGACCTGAATGCATTTCCCACTGTCAGAGGGTCGGTGTGGACTCAATGGGCCGAATGGCCTGCTTCCACACTGTAGGGATTCTATGATATTTGAGGAAGAGCAGGGGGAGCATTCCTTGATGCCCTGAACATATCTATTCCACACACTACTGAAGGCAACCAGCTTGATCAATATTGTCACACTGTGCAAGCTGGGTCCATCTTTCTCAATATTCATTCCTGGGATGGGGGTGCCAGCATTTAGTGCCCATCCCTAATTGCCCCCTGATGAACTGAGAGGTTCTCTAGGCTACTCAGAGTAGTTAACAGTCCGTCTCATTGCAGTGGGCCTGGAGTTACACGAAGGCCCAGACCAGGTAAGATTTCCTTCCCTGAAGGATATTAGTGCAGTCAATGGGGTTTTACAACAAATGATGATAGACATCCAGCCACTGCCACTAGCTCTCGATCCCAGATTTCATCAGTTGCCACAGTGAGATTTGAGAACGAGTCCCCAGAGCGTTAACCTGGGCTGCACAGTGCGTTCTCTCATTGGCAGAGGTGTCATAGACATTCAAAGTCCCCCTTCCCTACAGCTGGGGGGTGGGGGAAAGGAGGGAGGGAAGGTAGTTGGAGGCATATCAGTTAAGCATCCATGGTGAAATGGTGGCTTAGGCACTTGGAGGGGAGGCTGTGATGGAGTGAGTGAGGAACCCCTGTCTTGGGTCAGTGAACGTGTGAAAGTCAGGATGGCGAACCTGCCATTTGCTGTTTTCAGAGTCTGATGACTGTGAAGGAAAATGACCTGCAGCTCCCTCGCACACTCCCCGGACCATTTCACAGTTGGTGTGGCCCATTCACTTTCAAAGTTCACAGCAGCAAATGAGTGCACAGCAAGATTCCATAATCACAGGATTGGGGTGGGGAGTAGGTGTGGTGTTGGGAGGCATGGATAAATGGTCAGATTTCCTGTTTGATTGGCACTGCTTAAGGAATCGCAAGGGCCCTGGGAGAACTCATCTGTGCTTCTGCAAAGGGTCCAGTCAATATAGACACAGAAATTAAACTGAGCCAATCAGCAGCAAACGTGGCACGAAGCCAGTCCATGATTGGAGGACCAGCAAGAAGCACCATGGCAACAGTGCGTGGTCATGGAAACTGAGAGGTGTGAATTGGCGAGAGAGAGAGAGATGGACAGTTCAGATCTGATGGAGGGGTGGGGGCTGGTCAGTGAGAAAGGGAGAGAACAGGTAGTAACAGAGGTGGGGGACAGAAGATACAATGACAGGGAGGCAGCAGCAAAGAGAGAGAGAGAAAGAGGAAAGTCGGCTGCAATGGGAGACGAGAGGGCGAGAGACCTCATGGCAGGGGAAGAAGGCTGGATACGGAGGCTGAGAGGGGAGAAGGAGGGAGGCTACAAAGGGAGTGAACAATTGTAAACCTGTCAACAACGGAATGCTCAGCTGACTAGGAGTCAGGGAAACTGGAAATCAATGTGTTAATTAATTTCTTGCAAATGAATGTGGAATCTTTAGCTTAAGACCATGTGTGCTCAGCAGCTACTATATGTGGAGGGGCAGGGAAATTGTAATGGATGCTCTTGGAATGAACATTGTGTCAATTGTTAAGTTTAATTCTATGCTGGAGATCAGAGGTCTGCACGATAACACATTAACTGTGATCGCACCAGTCTGTGGAAGGTGTGTATAGGGCTGATGGCTTTTATGTGTAGAATTGTGTGTCTGCTATTTTGAAGAAACCTTTTGTTGCAAGCTCATGCCCGTTGACTTGTACCAATTTAAATACTGCATATTACGATATTAATTCATTGTGTGTCGTGGATTTAAGTATTATGGAGGGTTGGTAATTATTGGTGATGTTAATGAATTCTTCTAATTCTGCTTCTGTTTGAGGCCAAATAACCTACATGTCAACACAAACACAGTATATATTGTTAGTCTGTGAGTACATCACAAAATAAATGAGAATGAAAAAGTAGTCCCAAAAGTCAAAATGTATCTGTCAAGAAATTGCTGAGAAGAACTCTTGGGTTGGGTTTGGTGGGGTGGCAGGGTGGCACAGTGTGTGATCTCTCTCTCTCTCTCTCTGGTCCTGAGGCAATGAGTATCTCTGAGGATTCCAGTGAATTGCTTTTGATTTCAGGTCCATCAGTTATGGTGCGATCGGAGTCATTGTTGGACATGAGTTTTCACATGCATTTGATGACAATGGTGAGTAACTGTCAGCTCTCATTGAGGAGGAGCTCTCGGTACAATTTTTAATGATACTTCTCTCTAAATTGAAATGTGGATTTTTAAAAACCCTTTGGAGCATGGCATTGTTGGCAAGGCCTGCACTGGTTTCCCCTCGGTAACTGCTCTTAAGCTGAGTGGCTTAGGAACATAGGAATAGGAGTAAACCATTCAGCCCCCGTTCCTCCATTTAATGAGATCATAGAAAGCTAACGGCATGCTGGCGTTCATGATGAGAGGACTTGAGTATCGGAGTAAGGATGTCTTGCTGTAGTTACACAGGGCCTTGGTGAGGCCACTCCTTGAGTACTGTGTGCAGTTTTGGTCTCTTAGTCTGAGGAAGGACGTTCTTGCTATTGAGGGAGTCCAGCAAAGGTTCACCAAACTGATTCCCGGGATGGCAGGACTGACATAGGAAGAAAGACTGGATCAACTGGGCTTGTACTCGCTGGAATTTCGAATGAGAGGGGGGATCTCATAGAAACATAAAATCCTGATGGGTCTAGACAGGCTGGATGCGGGAAGAATGTTCCCGATGTTAGGGAAGTCCAGAACAAAGTGTACCAGTCTAAGAATAAGGGATAAGCCATTCAGGACTGAGATGAGGAGGAATTTCGTCACCTAGAGAGTTGTGAATCTGTGGAATTCTCTCCCACAGAAAGCTGTTGGGGCGAGTTCATTAGATATATTCAAGAGGGAGCTGGACGTGGCCTTTGCAGCTAAAGGAATCAATGGGTATGGAGAGAAAGCGGGAATGGGGTACTGAGATTGCATGATCAGCCATGATCATATGGAATGGTGGGACAGGCTCAAAGGGCCAAATGGCCTATTTTCTATGTTTCGATGGCTGTTCTGTGGCCCGTATCCTTTAATACCTTTGCTTAACAAAAAAATCATCCAGCTCAGATTTAAAATGAACAACTGATTGATTATCCACTGTCGTTTGTGGAAGAACATTCCAAACCCCTACCATCCTTTGTGTGTAGAAATTCTCCCCAACCTCTTTCCTGAATGGTCTGGCCCTCGTTCTCGGACTATGCCCACTGGTTCTAGAAACACCAACCAGTGGAGATAGTTTATCTTTATCTATCCTGTCTTTTCCTGTTAATATCTTGAAGACTCTGATCAGATCACCCCTTTGCCTTCTAAATTCTAGAGGAAAAGGGCCTAATCTGTATAATATCTCCTCATAACTTTAACCCCTGAAGTCCAGGTATTATTCTTGTAAACTGACATTGTACCCCCTCCAAGGCCAACTCTGTGATTTCAGAGAGCAGTTAAGAGTCAATCACATTGAATTGGGTCCAAAGTCATGTGTAGATTGGCAGACTTCCTTCCCTAAAGGACAGCAGTGAACCAGAAGTTTTCTGACAATTGATGATGGTTTCACAGTCATCATCAATTGAGGTAGCCTGAGGATTGATTAACTGAATTTAAATTCATCCGGCTGTTGTGGTGAGATTTGAACCCATGTTGCCAGAGCATTAGCCTGGGCCTCTGCATTACTAGGTCAGTAACAGGATGGTGATGCCACTGTTGCCCTCAGGTAGGTTATTACAAAGAGCCAGAGCTCTTTAGGATACATGCCTTACTGCTGCCTTCTGCCCCTTTCACTCTTATTTCCTTGACTTTGCTCGTCTCTCAGAATCCCTACAGAGTGGGAGCAGGCCATTCAGCCCATCGAGTCTACACTAACCCTCCAAAGATCATCCCACCCAGACCAAACCCGCTACCTTATCCCTGTAACCTTGTATTCCCCATGGCCAATCCACCTAGCCTGCACATCTTCGGACTGTGGGAGGAAACTCTCACAGACATGGGGAGGATGTGCAAACTTCACACAGGCAATTGCCCGAGGGTGGAATCGAACCTGGGTTCCTGGCGCTGTGAGGCAGCAGTGCTAATCACTGAGCCACCGTGACGCCCGGACGATTTAGTTACTGAGAGGTCAGTGAAACACTCTCTGCCTGACTTCACCCTTGTTACTGTGTGGAGTAATGGGGAGCATTGTAGAAATATGGGAAACAGGAGCTGGAGTAGGCCATTCAGCCCTTCGAGCTGGCTCCGCCATCTAATATGATCATGGCCGATCCATCAACTCAGTCTCTGAGCCCGCTTTACCCCCCCTCCCCTTGATCTCACCTCAGGGTTCACTCAACATTTAAAAAGCATCTGGATGCGTGTATGGATAGGAAGGGCTTAGAATGATGTGGGCCAAATGCTGGCAAATGGGACTAGGTCAGATTGGGATGTCAGCATGGATGAGTTGGACCAAAGGGTCTGTTTCTGTGCTGTATGACTCCATGAGAGGACCGACACTGCTCACAGTACTCCAGGTGTGGTTTCATTACAAAACTCAATCCTTTCGATTCTTCAATGTTGCCACATTGTAATTTGCAGTCTTCATTCGTTCATTGGACCGAAGGTATTTCTTTTTCCTCAGGGTGTTAAAGTTATTTCTTTCAGTATCTGTGAGTGGAGTTTTTCTGCTCTTACGAAAGAGTTGTAGAGAGCAACTTCACAGGAGAAGTGGAGAGAGTTGATGCAGCCACATCTGGAGCTTTCCTCCTCCTCTGTTTGCATTTCCCTCGCCGTGTCTGTTACGGTGAAACCTGACCAATCAGAGGGTTATTACTATGCTGAGCTCTCCTGATCCCACAACAAATAGTGTTGATTGGTCTGGACTCTATCCCCAAAAAGTGACATTGTCTCAGTTAGTTTCACATCATTTCCAAGCTGCAAACAACTCACCGCACACTCTCCCGTTCAAAGCGATATTTTGTTTAACCGAGAAAATAAAAGGTGTGGTCTCTTACAACAACAACTTTCAAGTCCTGTGTTACCAAGTGACTATAGAGTAGAAGAGGACAGAACGACAGGGCACTTATCGAAGTGGACCAGCATCAAGGGAGATGGGGCCATTAACATGTCAGTCTATACGTAAGTTGTGAAAATTCTGTATTTCTTGTTTGCTATTTTCTTCTATTTTTGTAGGTCGAAAATATGACAAAAATGGAAATTTACATCAGTGGTGGAGCAACGCATCCATTTCAAATTTCAATGACAAGACTGAATGTATGATTAAACAGTACGATGATTACTACTGGCCAATAGCTGGCTTGCAGGTACGTCTGGGGCACTATAGGAGGGTTAGGGGTGTGGCCTGGGCACTATAGGCGGGTTAGGGGTGTGACCCGGGCACTGTAGGTGGGTTAGGGCTGTGTCGAGGGCACTATAGGAGGGTTACAGATGTGTCCCGGACACTATAGGCAGGTTAGGGGTGTGTCCTGGGCTCTATAGGAGGGTTAGGGGTGTGTGCCGGGCGCTATAGGAGGGCTGGACTGTGTTGAGGGCACTATAGGAGGGTTACAGATATGTCCCGGGTACTATAGGAGGGTTAGGGGTGTGTCCTGGGCGTTATAGGAGGGTTAGGGGTGTGTCCCAGGCTCTGTAGGTGGGTTAGGGGTGTGTCCCGGGCGCTATAGGAGGGTTAGGGATGTGTGCTGGGAACTATAGGTGGGTTAGGGCTGTGTCGAGGGCACTATAGGAGGGTTAGGGGTGTGTGTCCCGGGCTCTATAGGTGGGTTAGGGCTTTGTCAAGGGCACTGTGGGAGGGTTACAGATGTGTCCCGGACACTATAGGAGGGTTAGGGGTGTAATCCGGGCGCTATAGGAGGGCTAGGGATGTGTGCTGGGAACTATAGGAGGGATAGGGGTGTGTCCCGGGTGCTATAGGAGGGATAGGGGTGTGTCCCGGGCACTATAGGAGGGTTGGGCTGTGTCGAGGGCACTACGGGAGGGTTACAGATATGTCCCAGGTACTATAGGAGGGTTAGGGGTGTGTCCCGGGTGCTATAGGAGGGTTAGGGGTGTGTCCTGGGCGCTATAGGAGGGTTAGGGATGTGTGCTGGGAACTATAGGAGTGTTAGGGGTGTGTCCCAGGCGCTATAGGAGGATTGGTGTGTGTCCCGGGCTCTATAGGAGGGTTAGGGGTGTGTCCCGGGCGCTATAGGAGGGTTACGGATGTGTCCCGGGCTCTGTAGGAGGGTTAGGGGTGTGTCCTGGGCTCTA